TCCAGTTCCAGAGTGTATCCTATAATTTTCATGGGATGCGTGATCAATCAAAGCATGATGCTTGCTGAAATGATAGAGGCTATCAGCATAACATGTGCAAACGACCTCCTAATTGGTTGCTAGCTCGTCCATTATCGGAGGTCAACGGGCAAAGAAAGGGGTCCCATTTTGCGCCTTCTTGACGGATTTCTTTGCTTTTTTCGCCACTGGGGCATTATTCAGCATCTCCACTTCCACTATGAACCCAGTCCAATCTATCGTAATCCCTCGCTTTAACCAAATCTATGGCAAGAATGTCCAATCACGAAAAAACACTGTTTTCGGATTCTTTCGTGAAAGGGAACTTTATTTCGACTCAAAATTCATTTTGCGGGACCTGTTTGGCAGCAGTGCCACTTGCCACGGTCCCGCCTTTGCCCAAACGGACAATACAATGGGAAAATAACAAAATCAACCCTTACGTTATTGTTTTCAGTCGTCAACTCGCCTACCAAAGTGAATATCTGAAGCGCACTGTGAACCCGGTCTGGAGAGTGTTTCGCGTCAGCATGCAGTCACTTTGTGGAGGCGATAAGAAAAGGTAAATTATGCGGTTGTTGAGTTGTTAGAAAGAAGCACTCAAGTGGAATTACTCGGCAGAAAGTATGTCTCCGCTGTTGAATTGTACTGCGCTCTGAGGAATTTACAGCTGGAGCTATAACCAGCTAATAGCCATGTGAATGGGTTTATTTCAGTTTTTCAAAGGATGTCACCGCGTCTATGCGGTGTAATATGGCCATTTTCCCGTGATACATATTCCTAGATGAACGATCCTGCTGAAATCGGGACTCCCATACAAATGCTCATTCGCAGGCATCAAATCCTGTTCAGCATCGATGATTAGCCAGCAGCCGCTGTCCTTGATTAGCTCAACCGAGTTCCGCTGCCTCAGCACACCTATCCATTTACATCCATGGTCATGGACATTGTTGCCGAGGCTTCAGACCTGCCCTTCCACTTCGTTGTCACCGAATTTGATGCCCGACTTCATAGTAGCGCTTCAACCACCCTATGTTAGATCCAGGTGGCTGGCGCACAGCAACTTTGGATGAACAGTGATGGTCCAATCCTGGTCACTCCATCCCTCCCCACGACCCTCTTTTCTATCATGATACGATATAACGATTGTGTATGGTTTCCAATTTCCAAAACGGACGAGCTCTTTGTATGGCACTGCAAATTATCATAATGGGTGGTAATGACTGCAGGATTGGGCGTGGTCAGTGAGATGGCGGGGCCTGCGCAGGTGACAG